GCCTGACTTGCCCCCCGCCCGCAGACGAACTCATCCGGGAGGTGACCATCAACTGCGCCGAGCGCGGGCTGTTGCTGCTGCGCGTGCGGGACGAAATCCGGATGACCATCGCGGCTTACCAGACGCTGTACGAGAGCAGCGTGGCCTTTGGCATGAGGAAGGCCTTGCAGGCCGAGCAAGGGAAATCGGACATGGAGAAAAAGGTAAAGGGCGGCCTGGTCCAAGCGGGCGCCCTTCAGCCCAAGGAATGCAGCTAGAGGACTTTCTTTTTGGTACCGTAGAGTGGCGGTCCTTAAACTAGATGCCCCGTATGAGCAAGTAAGAGCCCAAAGCAGCTTGACAGGCGGCAGGCAAGGCTCTTCTAAAAGATCCCCCAGCTGGGTGTGTTCTCTGTCTCAAGATTGCAGACTTAGAGGATGAGAAACGAGACTTGGAGAGGCAAGTGAATGAGCAGAAGGCCAAGTGTGAAGCCATTGAAAAGCGGGAACTTGAAAGGCGGCAAGTCGAAGAGAAGAAGCACACCGAGGAAGTCCAGTTCCTGAAACGAACTAATCAGCAGCTCAAGGTTGGAGCAGACACCAACTGAACATTCCAGTTGTAACCCTAACCTGCTGCAGTGCCCCTGCGGTCATGGGGTCAAAATTCGGGTGCTTGGCAGCCTGTCCACACTTACAACTGCAAGGGTGCTGCAACCCCCCCCCCACCTATCTCCTCCCCCAGCAGCACACGGCAACAGCAGGGCTGGGGCTGAAGTTGAGGCCTGGGGGCAGTGGCAGCTGGCTGAGACTGCTGAAGGCCCCAGGCCTCTACTTTAGCCTCAGCCCCAGCACTGCTGCTGCTGAATGCCACTGTGCAGGACAGCCAGAAGGCCATAGATGCGGGGGAGGAGATAGGTGGGGGGAAGAGTTGCAGCACCTATGCAATCATAAGCACAACTGGGCTGGGGCAACTGAAGCTTCCCTAGGTGTGGCAGCTTTGCCCCGTACTGCAGCACCCCCCCAACTCGCCCACAGCCTATGCTGGGCCTCCCCCACCCCCCTGCAATACCCATCCACTGGGACTCCCTCCACTTAACGACTCACGAGTCTCAGTTCAGAACAGCAACCAGGAATGCCAGGATTGCAGTCGCTAAGTCATGTGGTCATGTGACATCTCACTTTACGACATCACTTAGCAATGGAAATTCTGGTCCCTGTTGTGGTCATTAAGTGAGGACTACCTGTACTCTAATTTCTAAGCCAATCATATGCTACTGCAGGAGGGTTCATGGCTAAAATATTGGATGCAGTGTCTCCTTCATGCCACAGCAGAGCCTTCGTCTCCCAGGTAGCAGTTTTCTCGTTTGGCACTGTGCAGGAGCCCTCATTGATTAACTGCTTTGTCTGCATTTTAGGCACAGCTTGAAGGCATCATTGCACCAAAGAAATAAGCCTTCTGTCAGCCCAGTGCAAAAAGTGCCTTGAGGGGAAAACGAGAACACAGCTACAGAGAATTCTTCCGGAAAGCTTCCAGAATCTACCAGTACCTAAACTGTTCCACCTCATCTGAATCAACATAGATTCAAACACTGTTCGAATGCCTCCTGCATATTTAAAAAGAATCTCAACAGGCTTGGGACTTCTCTTTTCAGTTAATATTTACTGGAGGTAAATAACAGAGGTGTTTGAGGTTTTTTTAAAACCAGTAATACTTTCATTCTGTGCAGGTCTCAGCCTAACAGCAAAACAAAGAGCTGTACAAAAATTGCATTAAAATAAATCCTGACTCCTGAAACTTGATGCAGTTGTTTAACTGGTGATCACACATCCTGAACCAACTTCTCCCTTACCAGCCATATATGTCAAAACTAGCAAGAAGTCTTGCCCTTTAGCAATACTCGCCCTTTCTGCTACTTTGATTTTGATTCTTGTTTTCACATTGATGGGCAAAGCCTTTGTAAGGATCCAAGTTGGTACCCAACAGTTTTCATAATGATGAATTTCTATGTGGATTTTAAGGATAATTTAAGCTACAATTTCAAGATTTATCTTTATTTATCTTAAGTTGTAGGTCTCTGGGCTCCAGTGTCAAATTTTCTCTTGTTCCTGTTTCTATTTTTGACATTATGAGTATCATAATACCGAACACCAACTTTCTTTGAGTGCTGTTGCCGCTCTGCTCTTCTCTTCTGCAAAGGCAAAACAATGAATTTAGAACAATCCAAAACAAATGGACAGTGCTAATAGCTGTAGCTTACTATCCCAAGAGGAAAAAAATTCTCCCATATGCTACCAATTTAAGTAAGTGCTACTACAATGCCATTTTTCAAATACACAAGGCAGCTGGGCCACATGGAATGAACAGCAGCAGCTTCCCTTGTGTTGCACTGTGTGAAAGCTACGGAGGACAACTGATTTACATCCTGCCTTCATTTGTGGACAACTCAAGGCCATGTACATAATGTTCTTGTGAGGTGGTTTGGGCTTAGGGAAAGTGACCATCCCAAAGCCACTCGGACAGCTTTCACTGCTGACACCTACCTCCTTTGACTTCTGTTTCTTGCAGGGGTTATTAAGCTGGCAGGTGCTGGAATTCTGCTGCTCCTCTCCCTCTGGTACCTCCCTTTTCTTTCTTTCCCTCAGTTTTCCTGAAAGCAACATGTCAAGAATGGTAAGAGACAAAGCTCTTCCTGAAGAGCCAAATGCTGTGAGCAATGAAGAGCTATCCAGTGAAGGACACATTTTCCGAATGGGAGTGCTGTGCTCCCCTTCCACATGCAATGACAGATTCCTCACCCCTGTTTTCTCTGCTGCATGACCTTAAATGCATTCATTGAGCCCAAGAGACAAATAGGTCACTCAAGGCTGCATGAGGAAAAGTGTTCTCCAGACCAGGTATGGGTCCATCTACTGCAGCTTTCTGGCTACACAGATGCGTTTGGGAAGTTCTCCAAAGTGAATAAGAGGGCAACTGCACTTTTTTATAGTCATTGCTCAACAACTGGTACTTAGTGCATACTGTCAGTAATTCAGAAGTTAGTCAAAAGCCATTCAGATTAGTAATAGTTGAGAGTTTTGAAAAGAACATTCATGGAGAACTGGTCCATCTATGTTGGTAAGCAACACAGGAATTTGTAGCTTAAGTGTGTCATGCCCAGCCCTTTATTAGAATAAACCTATAAACCTCATGATCAAGCCATGCCCAGCCCTTTATTAGAATAAACCTATAAAATGTGCATCGGATGCAGATATCATTGCTAAACCAGCTACTATACCTCCAGTCTTCTCAGTTTCAACAGCCACTGAATCCAGCTGTGATTTTGCAAAGAGTTTTTCACTCAGCCCCTTAGGGATTCTACAAGGTAGGAGAGCAAACAGTTAGACTCTTCCTAAATCTGATTCCCCCATTCCTCTAGCAGTTGTATAGCCTCAAGTTTCATAGGACAGCCTAATTCTCTAGTCTTACCATAAGTTGAAAACAGAAACGCAATGTAGGATATATGTTTTACAAATAAAGCAACTGTGGACACAGCCAAGAAAACAAACAAATGGATCACTGAAGAAATCAACTCCAAGTTCTCACTCGAAGCACAAATGACCAACCTCAAATTATACCACTTCGGACACATTATGCAAAGGCCTAACTCTATGGAGAAGGCTGTATAGGCAGTCCTTGCTTAACAACTGCCCTGTTTAGCCACCATTCAAAGTTACAATGGCGCTGAAAAAGTAACTTTACAACTGGTTATTGCACTTAGGACTGTTGCAGTGTCCCTGCGGTTAAGTGATTGAAATTCAGGTGCTTCACAACCGGCAGATGTTTATAACTCACAGTGTCCTATGGACATGTGATCACCATTTGCGCACTTCACAGCCAGCTTCTGACAGTCAATCAAGAAACTGGCAGTAAAACTGCATGTCACAGTCACATGATGTCTCACTTAACAATTGCAGTGGGAGTGATGTAAGTCCAGTATGGTCATGTGATGTTTTGCTTAATGACCACATTGCTTAGCAACAGAGTTGCCAGTCCCAATTGTGGTCGTTAAGCAAGGACTATTTATAATGCTGGGAAAGGTGGAAGGAAAGAGAGGGAGAGGATGGGACTGGCTGGGAATTCCTACACGTGGCAGAAGATGCCAATGACCTTATTTTACAGCTGGAATTCCCACATGTCTAAATCCCAAAGTGTGGCCCATATATCTGGGAGGTTCCAAGTAGTAGATGGCTGTTTTAGAGTAAGCTTACAGTTTAAGTGGGCAAGCCTGTTTTTGGAGAGGGGTGGACAGGGAAGATGCGGGGTATGCGAACTGGCTGTGCTGGAACTCAGAGAAGGAGGGGAGAGAGAAAGCAATGCATCAGGTTATTTTCTCTTTCCCTCCATAGTCCCCATCTGTTGTTTTTGCACCCTACTCTTCCACCTGCCCCGAACCATTTCTGCCCAGCAGAGTTCCATTTCAGTCCTTGCACAGACCAAAAACAGCCCTTTTTGTTTCACACATGGGGCCAGAGTACCCCAAATGTGCATGTTTCAAACCACCTGAAGACCACTGTTCCGTGCACAGAAGAGATCATGCCTGGAGTTTTTTTGCTTAACTATGAATTGAGTGCTGCAACTGATGCTGGAAGGAAAGGTGGTTGAGGATTGATCAGTCTTGAGTTACAGTAGTAAGTTGCCCTCAGTGTTTTAGGCCCTTCTATCTGCCAAACCAGATGAACAAAGGTCAGATGTGGTACCTTATTGCTGAAAATCTCCTGGCCTTTGCCTTATCCAAGAATCTCTTGTATTTGGCAATCTTCTCGTCCAGTGACTTCAGTACTACCTTTGAATCTTCTTTGGTGTTAGCCTCACAAGTTGGCCTCCCATGTGGTAAGTTCTGTTCCTCATCTTCCTCTGTACCACTGTCTGTTTCACTGATATCCAGAACATTCACAGGAACCAGATCCTCTTCCAGGAATTGAGGGGTCACAGTGATCTTCTCATAGTTTTGCTGCACATGGGGCAAAGGCCATTTTGTTGCCACGTTGGAGCACTCATCACTCCCAGCCTGTTCTTCACATTTTTCTGTCATCCCTTTGTTCTCACTGTGACTCAGGTCTGTGGGCACATCTGAGGCAGCTTCTGTAGGCTGAGAAATTAAGCAATGGAAGTTTCTCTGCAAGCCAGAGTTACTGGTTTACAGCCATGAAAATGGTACAAAAACATTTAAGTGTGCATGATTTTTATTCAAGTAAGGTGGCCCTCCATCACCTTGTGTGAAGATGGAGGACACTTAAATGCACAGAAAAGTTTTTCACAGGGACCCCCAGGAAGCTGTACTGTTGCAAAGGAAGGAATATTTCTATTACTTCAATTGCTTGCCTTGAAAGCCAGCATGTTATCAGTCCTGCTTAAATGTTGCTTAATTACTAACTATTGCTCTTTTATTTATTTATTTGCTTTCAGGAGGAGTGATGCCTTTTTTCTTTTTCAAAAGAAACACTCAAGCTATTCTTGCAGACCTTACCGGAGACTCCTGTTCCACATTTGGAGGCTTCACAAAGAATGGGATGCGGCCCCTCTGCCAGTCATTCAACACCATCCTGCTGACCGTGTGCAAATCAGGCTCTCCTCCCTGAAATGGCAGAAAGGCCACCAGTCACAATTGCAGAAAGGGACCGAGGAGATCAAAGAGAGAACCCTGCTTCAGAAGGCATCTGGTGCCATGACTTCAGGCAGGATGCCATCTCTGGGGGAAAGGAAGGCACTTGTGGGCTGGATTCACACAATATGCTACATCTAAATATGAGTTCACAAAGCACAGTTGACTGTGCTTGTATCACATACTATATCTCCTCAAAATGGTTAATGGTGTACTCTGATGGCCCGAGTCATCCAATATGCAAAGACAAAGGCAAGCTCTCCATATCGTCCTAAACCACACTTCTACTTACCAACCCCACTTCAACCTACTTGAGCATGCTGTGAGCACCCATCATCCCCTTGCAGTATAATCCTCTTTTCTCCCTTATCACCATTGGCTGTTCCCAGGCTTGGTTCCTCAGGAGCAGACTCCCCTTCAGAAAATATCTCACATGCTGACCAAATGTCCACGCTAAGGACTTCCTTTTTCTCTTGAATCAAACAGCTGTTCAGCATCCAGGAGACCAGATTTACCTTCAGTAATTTCCCCGTCTGGAATGCTAACTTCTTCAGAAAATCCTCTGCATTTTCCCAGAAGTCTATTTTATATGTTTTCCTGATGTATTCTGGTTTGGCTCTGTCCAGCACTGTAGCAATGTGGTCTTCAGGACTCTTGATTTTTTCTACCTGAACCTGGAAATCACCAGAACAGTCAGACTGCTAGCTTTTACCAAAGAAACAGATTTCCACACATACATCTCCAATGACTGCCAAAGAAATCTGTCACGATTATTCAAGCATCCGGATCTCAGCAACATTTCAATAATAAGTAAGGCTGGTAAATTGGACTGGGGCAGAAAAAGTTTCACTCAAAGTTTCTCTTGACACTCACCACTCCTTTCAGTACAATATCTGTTTCTGAGTCTCCTGAGGGGTGCACCACGCCTGGGCAGTCAATAAGGAAAATACGGCGCATTAAAGTGATGTACTGCCATACCTGCAGAAGAAGAAGTAAGGCCAAGCCTGTCTTTTTAATTCAGTAGGAACAAAACACATGGCAGCAGCTCATTAAACTGAGGTTGTTCAAGGATCTATAAATGAGGTGGGGAGGTGAACAAAGCAAGAGGAACCAGTTACAGTGGGGCAAGAAAGTATTTAGTCAGCCACCAATTGTGCAAGTTCTCCCACTTAAAAAGATG